ATATATATATATATATATATATATATATATATATATGTATATATATGCTGAGTGATTAGAAGAGAAGTGATCTCGAATCAGAGGAGCAAATCATGACACTGAGAAAGCACATGCCAAAACTGAATATAGAATGCTATATGATGTCTTTAATTATATATTAAAATCATTTATCATTACAGTACAGACAGTCATCATGTTCTTTAATATGCCCTATAAGGTACACAGTTAGGATGAGAGTTCAGCAGAATGTAGAATTGACATCTCACCTGTGAATGTGTTATGAATTCATCAGGTTGGATATTATGATATAATAATAAATTAAAATATTCATTGTTTCCCATAACCATGTGGTATAATAGTGTGCCTACATTTTTGTATCTTCTGGCTTAGCCGTCTGAATACTTCTTGATACACTTATAGAGGAAGATGTATAAAACTCACCAGGAAAAGCATGTAGGATAAGCTTTCAACACTAATATATTTAAAACAAAATTAGTTGCAACAGACTTACTAAATAGTAACTTTTTCTGTATAAAAAATGGTCCAATATTCTATTAGTACTAACAATTTAAGTATTCAAACAATAAATTCAGAAATTTATGGTTTTTAAAGTTAGTCTGGTTTGGTGTATCATGTTATTCTCTAATGAATTTTTATAAAACACCAATTTTACCAACACAATTTGCTTCCTTAAAAATAAAACCAAGGCTCTTACATTCAAGTACATCTTATTCAAATTGCTAATATCAACAGAATTTACATATCTTTGATGCCTCATAGTAATAAAGAAAAGTAATGAGTCATGGAGGTTTAATCCAATTATAGTAATTCTCCTGATTCCAGTAGTCCCTGAAGCATCCACACTGTAACATTCTGCAGTAAAAATATTCTAAATGCTTCTGAAGTGAGTTCACTAAATTTTCCTTCTTAGAAACTCCAAAATACTCTCACTGGCTTCTCTCTTGTACCCTGCTTCCTGCCCCACAATCCCTCTTCCGTAGCAAAAAATCATCTCTAGATTGTGCTCTTGATTCATCCCATTGAACACCTGTTAAAATTATTTTTCTCACTCTTATACTTGGTTTAGTGATAATATCTTCCATCTATAATTTCTATTGCATTGTCCCTTTCTCCTTCTGCTCTGGCTAAAAAACATACTCAAAAATAAGAGCAATACAATGTTTTCTCTTGACCCTGTTATGTCTTGACCTTCTATCAGTTGCTATTCTTCCACATTTTTCCCATGAAGGCTTCTACTTTTGCCACTCAGGGCAAGGTCCAAAGACCAGCAACACCAGCGTTGTGTGAGAACTTACTGAAAATGCAGAATCCCAAGTCTGCTGAATCACAGTGTGAATTGTTAACAAGGTTTCCAGCTCATTTTCTTAAGTTTGAAAACTTCTGGTCTACACTGATTGTATATGACAAATTATATACATGTGTGGCTGTAGATATGTGCTTATTTTCACCTACTGTAAATAGAACACATTTTTCCACGGTAAGGTGCTTCTGTCCCTAATGGTGTCCTACCAGTGAGAAAGGCAGGAAGAGACAGAGTATTTATGCTGTGATTCTCTGGTAAATTTTGGTACTAGAAGGCCACTTTATGTTCTTCCTAAATTTCTAACCATACCCTATCTTTTTCTGAAGAATAATTTCAATTACCACCCTTCATTGCATAAACCTGCTTCCTGTTTCTTCACGTACCTTGTCTTTCTCTGACTTTATTTCCTCTTTTACTACTTTCTTCTTTCTAATTTTCTGATTTTCCTCAGGTCTTGGAATATCTTGAATTCGAACTAATAATTCAGCTCCTTTTCAGCACTCTCAATACAGTCTGTTGCCAACACCTGATAGGACGTATCACTTATCACCGTTTCGCTTCTCTCTTTTCCATGCTGGGCATTTAGGAGGTACTTTTCTTTGGCTATTAGTGTGTATCCTTCCTCATGAGTTTAGAGAAATATGCAGTCAAATGACTTGTTAAATAAAAAATGATTCTTACCTTCTAATTTTCCATTTATTGTCTTGATTTCTTTTTGATATGTAGCCTTGGGTAAACACACATCATTCTGTTGAACACTCTCAGGAAGACTCTGTTAAAAGTAATATTAATAAGTAAGTTTAATTTAAAAATCCTAATAAGAGTATCAAAATTTTCTAATTAAAAGGCAATTTTTAAGGCAAAATTTCCTACTTTATAGGCAATTTGATTTAAGGGCAGACATGTATTGAAAACCAAAACATTTCGGTGCAAAACTTCATACATGCTCTCTAGATCAAGCTTTTCTTTACCTTCATGTGGCTATTAACTTGGTTCCTGAGCAGGAAAAATCAGTCACATTCCCAAAAAAATTCACATGTGCGTGTTTCAAAAAGTAACTCACTTGAAAATATCTAACTTACGTTGCAGTTCTCATCAAAAAGAAATATGGCACTTCGAACAAAATACAAAACACTTGCTACTTACCATAACACATACTGCATTAAACATTTAAAATTTTCACGACTATAGAATTTAGTGTTAAAAATGATGCATGTCATGAAGACAGCTTTCAGAGTCTGCCATATAATGTCTGCACATAAAATTCAAAATACTGCTTTATTTAGGTAAACAGGGGCTAAAAATAATCAGAACATTTCTGATAAAATTTACGATGGGTGAAATAGTGCTTGAATAAAGTGAAAACGCGGTAAGAAAAAAAATTGTGTCATCTCAAAATGAAAGCAAACAAGTCTTTGTGTCTAATGACAAATTAGATAAAATCTATTTGTCTATTGACTTCCAACCTTTGCTGTGACCACCATGCAGCAGCTTCTTGTTTCTAAGAGGTCAGATACTTTCTACGGCATTCCACAGCTGTGACCTTAAAATACGTCGCTATTGCTTGACGCTTATGCTGCTGCAGCTTGACTGCCACAAAGGGACTCAAAAGGTTATATTTGTGAACATCATTTCTATTTTAAAAATACTACTCAACCAAGCTGTTGTTATTATAGTCCCATGGGTTTCCTATTCCTCATGCTTTTCTTTCTCCTGAAATGTTCCCTCAGATCTATACTGAATAGTAAAATAATTCAATACTTGCATTTTCCAGGCATTATCTTTTCAGGTCCCAAGCTTTACAAAACTACAGTTTAAACTGTCTCTCTATGAATCCAATTAGAACTTTTATACATATAGATATACCACATCATACATTTGCCCATAGCTGGACTCACTGCAATTCTTTAGTTTTTAGGCAAACTTACTGCAGGTTCCATGTGAACTCCTAGTGAGTTCGAAGCCTTATTTTTTACACTGTACCTCACTGGCTTCTTAATTTAATCCTACACATGAGCAGAATTTCACTATGAAGAAGTAATCTACTTAGCACATAAATTCTTTATACAGCATATTCTAAAAAATCAGAAAAAATAATTTTGGGGTGACATATGCAAAGGTGAGAAAATAAATCTAAGCCTCTGGTTTTATGTTGTCACATCATGCAAAACTAACATTAAAAAAATTCAGTAATACACAGTACCTCAGAATCCCAAGAATTTTTTTCATCTTTCCCTTCTTTAGATTCTGATGGGAACATCTGATCTATAAAAGGTTAATCACAGATGCATTCATGAGAACATTTCCCTACTATACATTTCAAAAACATATACGAACCTATTTTCATTCAAGAATAATTTTTTTCTTCTGTAGCCTGTATATTCTTTTTGTAGATTGCAATCACAACTTCTATAGTTAATCCATTAAAATTAAAATCTTAAAAATCTAAAAATTAACTTTGTCATTAATTAGAATGCAGAAAACTAGAAATTTGATTCACTTGTATAAATCATTTCTTCACAAAGCAGTCACATCCTTTTCACCCATGAAACACAGTATGTCCTATGTTTGCTATTCATTCAGAAAACTTTTATTACCTGTCATCTCTCATTTCTTTATAAATTTTTATTTTTTAGTATTACTTAGTTTGATCGTCTCAGCAATCTCTATCACACAGTTCTTCAAAAAAGATTATCAATCAATAAGATTTTTTAAGGATATTAACTTTTTGATGTCAGTAAAATATATGTCCAACTCTTTAAGTTTTAATATACCATGGCAGTACATTGGGTGTGGTTTGGATGTGTGTATCTTTTAGGAAGATAAGCTTAAAAAATTTTTATTTCATGTAAAATAAGAACTACTTTAATAACAATGACATAGCTCTCCCCAAATGCAACAGTATGTTCAGAGTCAGCTTATGATACCTTGGAGAAACATCAGAAATATATCGGAAATAAATAATTTCCTTAAGTAACCAGTGTTTCCACATGTTATAGGATTAAATCAAGGCCCACACAAGAATTGAAGTGCTTCAGTCCAATGAGACAGAAAATGAATTACTAACATATTAATATCCAGTTTTCCTTATCAACAAAAAATACAAATTACAACTATTTAAATCAGCTTAAAAGAAAGCAAACATGCATAACTAAAACTTAAAAGACGATTTAATCATTAAGGGTACCTTTATCATTTGACATCTAAGAAGTGTATATCTGGTTTAAAAAAGTAAATTAAACTTGTGGTTTCAGCATCCCTAAAGTTTACATTTCATCCAGAGGGTCCAGGAAACTCAAATCATACATTGGTAATTCACCATTTTCACTCATTACTAGAAGTGTATCCTGGATCATTTCAGAGATCTAACGTGTTGTTACATCATAGTTCTAACAATTTGTGGGTCATAGTTCTAATTGTTAGTGAAATGTATGATTGCACATGGAAATACTTTACATAGTTTAGTTTTCATTTCTAATAAATAAAAAAAATAGATATGATACTTTTGAGATATTAACTTTTTGATATGAGCAAAGTATATCTGGCCCCTTTAAATTTCAATATGCCATGACAGTATATTCAGTGTGTATCTGTTTTATTTATATAAACTTAAAAAATTGTACTGCATATAAATTAAGAACTGCTTTAAGTACAAAGAAATAGTCTTTTCTTAATGCAACAATATCTTCAAAATCAACTTGTGATGCCTTGGAGAAACATTAGAAATTTATAGGGGAAATGAATGCCTTAAGTAACCTGAATTTCCCACATTTCATAGAATAAAATCAAGGTCTACACAAGGCCCAAGGAGGACTGAGAGCCAGCCATGAGACAGAAAAGGAATATATAACAGAAATAATGTTCAGTTTTCTTTGTAAACAAAATTTTCAAATATTAACTATTTAACATAGTTTAAAGAGAAAAGCAAACATGCTCAACTGAAACTTTAAATATCATGTTAATATTAAGGGTACATTTATAATTTGACATCCATGAACTTTATATCTGGTTTTCAAGTGTGGTTTTAAGTTGTGACATGAGCATCCCTAAAGTTCAGGTTTCACAAAGAGAATCCAAAAACTCAAATGATCTGTTTGCTATTGGCCACTTTCACTCTCATTTTTAGAAGTGTATACTGGACTGTTCCAGGGAAATCATGTGTTATAATAGCATAGGATGGCCCATAGGTCTCAGTTTTCATTGTTATTAAAGCAGATGACTGTGCATAGTGATACTTGAAATATTTTGGTTTTAATTTCAAATACATCAAAAAGCAATAGATAAAACCAACTGAAATGAAGACTGAAATCTGCAGTTGTTTTTATTTTCATATATTTGTTTTTTGCATGAACACAGTTAATGAGTTGTGGTGTAGTCATATAATGGAATTCTATAAAGAACCTAATATAAACATAACCAGAGCTAATTCTGTCCATTATGAATGGTTCTAACAATTTAATGCTCATCTAAGAATGGTACAGAAAATAGCACACAATGTACAATTACTCACATGTTAGAAGCTGAAAACAAATTCTACATATTATCTATGACCATGCACATATGTTGTAAAATGTTGAAACATGCATAGAAATAATAACTAAAAAATAGCTTAGACAACTGTTTAACTCTAGGCATTGAAAAGACACTAAGGCCAAATGCTTCAGAATCACAGTTTTACAAAAATAATCACAAAGAAATGATTGCTTCTCTCATATTTAAAAAAAAAATTAAGGGTACCACACCGACACACCCACACCCACACAGGAACAAAGGTGCAGAACACACAGACACGCGTGCGACACACACGCGCGTACAGACACACACACACACACACACACACACACACACACACGGCTGCATAGAGTAAGCTAATCAGAATAGCTGATTTCCACAGGATTCTTCAAATGACTACATTCACATGAGGTAACCAATGTTAAAACACAATGGTTTGTCAACAAGTGAAGCTTTCCCTGAAGTAGAGAAGTAGAGGGTGGAATTTGAATTAATATTTGGAGAACTCATAAAATGTTAGTTTAAAAATTCACCTTCTTGAATCTTTAAGACTTACAGAAATTCCCAATACAAAACATTACAGTATCAGGACATAAAAGTAGAAACACCTGAAATTAAAGCCACGTTTTTTTTTTTTTTAAAGCCACGTTTTTAAAAAACTAATTAAAATTTGCATTCCTGTAAATATCAGTTTTTCCAATGTAGATACCAATATGGACATTGTTTAGTCAAATATTTCCATCAAATTTGAAAAATAAATCTTGGGAGATGAGACTATTAACATGCCTAGTGTTGAAATATTCATTTTAATATAGTTGAACAGCAGAATTTACCTGCTCTCAATGTTTGTTTGTTCTTCCGTTCTAAGTCTTTATTTGGAGCAGAGTTTTGCATTTCAATGGAGGGCTAAATTGGTTTGGAAGAAGAATGATTAACAATGAATGCATAATTCAAAAAACACATTGCTAATAAATAATTCAAGATAAAATTATAAAACTCAATACCTCAAAGTCAGAAGGCTTCTCAGGAGGCTCTATATAGAAAAAGAGATTTATCGTCAATCATAGGTAAATATGACAAAGCCAACCACAAATGAATGCAGTGATAGTAACTGAGTCTTCTTGATCAACTTTGAGAGTTGGGGGTTTTCTTTTAGTTTGTTTTTTTAGGACACTCGCATGACAGACATACACTGAAGGAGCTAGGAATCTAGCTTTCATAAAACATGCACTTAAGATTTCAAAAGTGAGAATGTGTCGTGCATGCAAAATGTGTTGTTATTAATATGTATAAGCTGGGTGGTAAAAAGAGAAATGATCCCTCATCAGAGGAGCAAATCATGACCCTGAAAAAAATAAATGTCAAAGCTAAATCTAGAATCCTACACCATATACTTAATGAAATACATTAGAATAATCTGTATCATTACATTCATCATGTTCTTTAATTTGTCCTACAATTGAGACGGTACAACATTATGATGAGAGTTCAGCTGAATGCACAACTGACATCTCAACACTGAAAGTGGTATAAATTGATCAGCTTGAATATATACTTAGAGAATAATACTAAATATATTCATTGTTTTCCATACCCATGTGTTGTCATCGTATGCCTACATTTCTGAAACCTCTGGTTTATCCTAAGAAATTTTCTTGATTTGCTCATGCAAACATATATGCAAAACGCATATAAAATAATGTGTAATGAGCTTTCAATATTGACATGTTTATTTGAAAATGTATGGCAACAGGCTTATTACATATAAATAACATTTCATATTTTTAAATCAGTACTATTTATTTTAAAAACAATGTTAGAATTGAAGTGATAAATTCAGTAATAATTTGGTTTCTAAATATCTGTCTGGTTTGTTTGTCATGGTAAAGGTCTAATAGATTTTTACAGAACAAAAATTTTACCAAAACATTTTGCTTCATTAGAAATAAAGCCAATGCTCTTACTTTCAAATATCTCTCATCTGCATAGCTAATATCAACAAAATACATATATTTTATGCCTCATAGTAACAGAGGAAAACAATGAGTCATGGCAGTTTACTCCAAATCTGTAATCCTCCTGCTTCTAGTTGTCTCTGGAATACCCACAATGTAATCTTACGGAGTATAAATATTGCAAAGGCATCTGAAGTGAATTCACTCAAATTTCCTTTTCTGAAACTCCAAAGTTGCCTAGCTATGTCCTTCCTTGCCCCATTTCTTGCCTCACAATCTCTCTTTCGTGGCCAAAATAATGTCTAAATCTGTGGTCTTGATTCTTCCCTTTCAACATCTTTTAAGATCAATTTTCCCACCACTTTCTTTCTCTTTGATGAGGGATAGTATCTGACATCTGTAATTACTATTTCTTTACCTCCTTTTTCACCCCTCTGGACAGAAACATACTCAGAAATAAAAGCAATATAATGCTTTCCCTTGACCCTGTTACGTGTTGACCTTCTATCCAACTGCCCTTCTTCCAGATTTGTCCAAAGGAAAGGTTATTCCCTTGCTACTTAAGAGTGGGGTACCAGGACCACCAGCGTCACTATCACTTGAGAACTTATTAAAAATGTCAGAATCTCAAGTGTGTTGTATCACTTTGTGCACTGCTAACAAGGTCTTCAGCTGATTTTCTGAAGATTGAAAACTTCTGGTCTATACTGAGCGTGTATGACAAATTATATACACACACGACTGTGCAAATATGCTTATATTCACCTATGGCAGATGAATTACAACTCTCCATGGTCATGTGCTTCCATCCCTAATGCCTTCCCACCAGTGAGAAGGACAGGACTGACAACATGTTTGCTAAATTCTCTGGCAAATTTTGGTAACAGAAGGTCACTATAATTTTTCCAACTTTCTAACCATGATCCAGCTTTTTCTATAGAATTATTTTATTTTACCAGCCTCCATTATATAACCCTCATGCACTCCCTGTACTCTCTGTCTTCCTCAGTCTTCATTTCCTCTTTTACTTCTTTCCTCAGGTCTTTGAGTATCTTGAATTTAAATTAATAATTCAGCTCTTTTTTTTCTTTTGGCACCCTGAATATCATCTGTTGTCAACACCTGAGAAGACATATAACTTTCATTTCTTTTGCTCTTCCATGCCATCCATTTAGAGAATAATTTTCTTTGGCTATAAGAGTTTATGAGTCCTCATGCGTTTGACAAACATTTAGTTAAATGATGTTTGAATTAAAAAATGGTTCTTACCTTCTATTTTTCCACGTATTATCTTGATTTCTTTTTCATATGTAGCCCCAGGTAAACAAACATAATTCTGTGCAGCCCTCTCGGACTTAACCTATTAAAGTAATATCAATATATAATCTCTTTAAAAATTTTTTTTTTCTTTAACAAAGTCTCACAGGGTCGCCCAGTGGTATGATCTCCTCCTACTGCAACCTCTGTCTCCTAGGTTCCAGTGTTTCTCCTATGTCAGCCTTCTGAGTAGCTGAGACTACAGGTATGAACCACCACCTCTGGCTAATTTTTTGTATTTTCAGTACAGACAGGTTTCACCATGTTGGCCAGGCTGGTCTCAGACTCCTGATCTCAAGTGATCCTCCTGCCTCGCCTCCCAAAGCTCTGAGATTACAGGCTCACGTGAGCCACCATGGCCTGCCTCAATAAATAATTTCAATTTAAAAAATAATAATGACTACCATCAATATTTTCTATTTAAAATCTTTTGCAAAACACATTTTTTTTACATTAAAGATAATTAGATTTAAGGCTGTTCACATATTGAAAACCAAAACATTTCAAGAGAAAACCTCACATATGTTCTGTGGATCATGCTTATCTTTTATCTTCATGTGGCTATTGACTAGGCTACTGAGCGTGGAAAATAAATCATATTCACAACAAAATTCACTAGTGGGTATATTTCAAAAAGGAATTAAGTACAAAACATCTGCCTTACTGTGTAGTCAGCACCAAATATAATAGGGCATTTCAAACAGAATACAATGTGATTAAACATTTGATATATGTATAATTACAGAATTTCTGTTAAAAACTATGCATGGAATGAAGGGAATTCTCAGAGTATGTCATGCGCAGTAGAAACAGAACTCTGTAGAAGCTGTTTCATTTAGGAAAACAAGGGCTTAAAATAATAAGAATAGTTTTCATAAGCATTTTGCTGATAAAGAAATGCTTGAATAAAATGAAAGATTTATAAGGAATATGTCTATTTATGCTATTTTTATAGGAAAGAAAACAATTATTAGATAAAGCATGCAATGAATTGTTAAGACATAACTTCAGAAAAGTAGAGCAAGCATTCATAAAAAACAAAGAATAAAAACACATATTCATCTGGGCACAGTGGCTCACGCCTATAATCCCAGGACTTTGGGAGGCCGAGGCAGTCACATCACGAGGTCAGGAGATCAACACCATCCTGGCCAACATGGTGAAACTCTGTCTCTACTGAAAAAACATTAGCTGGGCATGGTGGCACGTGCCTGTAGTTCCAGCTACTCAGGAGACTGAAGCAGGATAATAGCTTGAAACCAAGAGGCAGAGGTTGCAGTGAGCTGAGCACTCCAGCCTGGTGACAGAGTTAGGCTCCATCTCAATAATAAAATAAAATAAAATAAAAATAAAAACAAACAACAAACAAACATCTATTCATGAAACATCTAATATGTGCCAGACACGTATTTGCAGATTGTTCTTCACCTTAGAATAATGAGGGTGATGAAGACATTGGTGGTTATGCCACTTTCTGCTTCCTAGTCATTCTAGGTTGTTAAGAATAAAATGAACAAAGATGATTTGCTGTTCAATCTGCTCAGAATGTCTTCATCCTAGACTTTCACACGGCATGCTCCTCATCTTTGAGAAGGGAGATTAAATGGCAGTCTCAGAAAAATCTACCCTGACCATAGAATTCCCCTGCCACTCCCATACCCAGGCTAAGTAGAAAGTTCTTCAATTCTCTATCCTAGCATTCTTTGTTTTGATTTGAAGAAAAAGTTAAAGTGACTTAGAAGTGTTTTGTATTTGTTACTCTCTTCCTACTACCGTAGCATAATCCCTCATCTTGGATATTCAGAGACTAACTGCCTAGCACACAGTGGGTACTCAGAAATAGCTCCAGGCCAAAACGTTTAAAATCTCCTCAGGAAAGTCTAACTTTCCAAACTGCTTTGTTTCTATGGAAAATCTGTAGCAGTAGCCTGCTGCAAGTTACCATCCCTTTACCACAAATTAGAAATCCACATGCCTGTTCTTGCTCCACATTCTTCTCCTAACAATACTGCTTTCATTTAAATGCCACTTTGATCGTTTTGCCTTATATTTGTATACAGACTTTTCCAGTTTACAAGATGTTTTCACATTTGTTACAATGTTATTTCATCACGCATACCTAAGAGGTAGATATGAGCACTATTTTTATAAACAAGGTTACTGGTATTTGATCAGGTTAAATAATTTTCTTCTCAGTTCCCATAGCTAGTAAGTGACAGAACCAAAATACAGACTTATCTTTGACATCCACTCATTGCTGTTACCACTACACTGCTGCTGCTTTAGATAACTGGTGAGGCCTTTCCTATCTCTTCCACCTTCACAGTTGTGACCTTAGAATACATCATAATTATTTGATATGTATGTGGTTGCAAACATGGCTGCCACAGAGGGACTCAAAGAGTTCTATTTGTGAAAAGAATGTTTACTTATTAAAATACTACTCAACCAAATGGGTGTTATATACAGTTTTACAGGTGTCCTATTTCTCATGTTTATCCAACTCCTGAAATGTTCCTTCAGATCTATACTGGAAAATGAAAATATACCAATACATCCAAGTCCCAGGCATGATCTCTTCAAGTTCCAAGTTGTATAAGGCTAAGACTACAGTTAAACTATTTCTCTCTGAATCCATTTAGAGCTTTCTTACATCTAGCTGTACACAGAATCATTTATTTGCTCATAGGAGAACACAGAGAAATTATTTAGTTTTCAGACCAGCTTAACTTCAGAACTCAACTTCACTAGTTCTTAGAAGTCCTAGTGACATCTAAGCCATATTTTCTGTTGCGTTATTCTACGCTGGCTTCTTATATTAATCCTGAAAAGGAGAATAATTGCTCTATGCAGCTGTTACCTGCTTCACACATGATTGTAAAGTATGTTCTGATAAATGTCAGAAAATTATTTCTTATGAACACATGCAGACGTGAGCAAATAATGTCAAATCATCTTTTTATATCCTAACATAACTCAACATACTGCCATAATTGGGCCATATTTGGAAAGAGAGACAGAGTGCAGAGTCAGGACACAAAGACTCTAGGAGTCTATGTGCAATAACATGTGCAAAACAATAAGGCATGAAATAACATGGCAAATTAGGAGTGCCAAAGTGATGTGGTAAAACTGGAATACAGCCAGAGGAAATGAGATGAAGAGGTAAAATGGGGCCAGACCATATAAGATACTTGTGATGCTAGAACGTGAACTTACCCCTTCGTGTTGTGGGTATTCGCTCAATGTGCAGATGAGTTACATCATTACAAATATATTTTAGAAAGTGCACCCTTGCAGCAATGTAAAGATAGATGAACACGGGGATACGGGGCAAAGCTAAAAGAAGTACTTCAAAATTATAGGTAACGAGTTAATTATGGTAATAAGAGATGGAAAAGTTTAAGAAGGTAGAAACTACAAAATTTGGTGTGTGACTGGATAGGTGATGTGGAGGAGGGTTGACGTGTAGGTTGTGGGGGAGACTCGAAGTGCAGGTTGAAGCGCTCGAGCGTTTCACCACTACTTCCTAGGTGTTATTCGCTAGGATGGGGAAACCAGATGACAGCGTAGATTACAAAGAATCAGAAAAGAGTCAGGAAAATAATAAAAATGATGTTTTCCGTTTGAGACCCATAACATTTGAGGCATCCAAGGGGCTTGGAAGAAAGATCTGGATAAATACATTTGGAGTATGGGTAGACGACCTACATCAGGAAAATTACATAGTGTTACGAAGATAAATGTTTATAAGATACACTAAATGGGAAGAACTAAATAACACAAACCTATGCAGAATGCTGACATTTTTAAAATGAAATCAAAGGAGAGAGAAAACATGGGATTAAGTTTCTCCATTATATATGTCCAAATTTGTTTTGAGAATATAATTGTATTTATATTGGTAAATATTTATTTCTGAAATATTATTGCAATATGCATAGTTGAATTGAATGCAAACATTTAATTCTAAAACACCAATTGAAGGTTCTGCCAAAGGACTTTTACAAAATTTAACCTTGAAAGTTTTAATTGTACAAGAGAAATGCTTAACTAATAATAGAATTATGAGGCATTTTTAAGTACTACTATAAGGTGAGATAGAAATGTGAAACCGTGTTTTAAAATTCACATACTTTTCTTATGTTCCTGGAAACAGTACAATGCTAGCTCAAATTGCCCACTTACGTCATATAGGATGGTAGTTCAAAATTGGAAAAAAAGATTTCATATAAATCAAATTAAGCTATAATTATTCAAGTTGAAGATTTAATAGTTTTTACCTATATCTATGATTGTCAAGCATTCTCCCGTATTCACAGGAGAAATGAAGAAACTAAAATTTCAAGTCACAATGTGCCCACTGCAAGACATATTTTTAAGAGTAAAAAAAATCTTCTGGTGATAATTTTGTATATTCTGTTAACAATCTTTCCATACATTTAATTCTATGATAATAAGTACTTTACTTTTAAAAATTCACAAATATCGATCACATTCATTTGATGTGTGCATATACCATTACATATAGATATTAAGAGCAAAAGATGTCAGAATATACCTCGAGATGAATAATTTCTATAATTAATTCTTTGAGAGTGTTGTAGCTTAAAAATGATTTTTTGTTTTTCAAGAGATCCAGATAAAAGCCTTGTTCATATGACTAGAACATTTAATTTTAGTAAAAAGATTAAATAAAATGCTTGCTTATTATTTTAATCACTCTCTATTAACAAAAATATTCAAAACTCCTACCCAGGTTATTCCAAAGAGTAAGATAAATGAGGTAAACAACCTAAGAATATATCAAACATTAAATTAGAAATCTTAAACAAGAAAGCAAAGAGTCAAAAATTAACTCACAATTAAGCTGACAAGTCTTAAAACAGATCTCACTTTGCATTCTTCATTAATATAAGTAAAAATAGATTAAATATAAAACATAAATTTACTAAAAGAAGTGAGAAATTTTCTTTTCTTTTCAATAATTTTTTTAGTTGATACAATATAAACATACACGTTTTGGGGTTACACATTATAACTCAATGCATTTACATATCAAATCAGAATAATTGAGATATTAATCACCTTAAGTATCAATTTGTCCTTTATGCCACAAATATTCAGATTATTCTCTTCTAGCTATTTTAAATAGTACAAGAAATTGCTCTTACCTGTAGTTGTCTTTATATTTTCTTTCAGCTTTTTATCAAAATCAGTTATAAATCACTCAAAAACAACTGAGCAGTATTTTATTACCTGGCTATCATTTCTTAATTTTTATTTTAAATAATTTATATCATATTTCATTCTAGACAGTTCAGGCACTCATTTAAACCACGCTTTTTCTGTGTTTTATAATAATCTGTCTCACCTTGACTCTTCTATGCAGTCTCTATGTTTATCTTACCCATCTTCAATGAATTATTTCCTTTCATCCCCTTCATCTAATTGATTATTATGAAAAACTAGTCGTATCCATTGGAGCATTTTTTAAGCAAAATAACCTGGGACAAAAATGTACCCTTACATTGTTTATAATATTGTAGACATAATTAACATCAAAAAGTTTAAATTACATATTATATTTTGTAATATCTCTTCATGATTTACAGTTTTATTAATTACTTCTTGTGTGGAAAAATGTGAGAGTTTAGTATTTATAGTACCTTAATTAAATGGGTTTACATTGAAATAGTATAGGTTGTTTCTATTCTGTATGTCAAAACCTAAATTTAAATAATTGTATAAATTTGGCTTCTTCCATGAAACAGAAAAAAGAGAAAAAGTCATGGGGTGGGAAGGGCCATGATTGATAATTGAAAACCATACATAACAACTAAGTAGAAACCTGTAACTAAATATGTTGAGCATTGAGACAGAGATGCCCTAAAAACCAGACACTGAAGAAATGTATTCTGTGAAAAAAAAGTATCAGGTAAATCATTTTTAAAAAGGCGGAGGAGGAGGGAGAAACAAATAACAGACATGACCAGTCAATCAAGTACGAGCTCCAGTCATGAAACAAGAGAAAAAAAAAAAAACTACTCTACAATATGTGATGAAATACATACAATAGACACTTTTGTTTGTAATATATTCCTATAATGCTGATCAGCATTTATACTACAATTAGTTATTTGGATAATACCTGTGTAATAATGATTTTAATTTTCTTATTATATAATATGACATTCAATTGGTTAAACATACATAGTCTTCAGAGGCTACCTATAAGCTAGGACATTCTTACTACAGAGAAAAAAAAATTTTTAAAAGGATAATTCATAATCTTTTCACCTGAAAAAACTATTGGTAATCAGAATCCCAAAGGGTAATGTATTGCTTGAAAAGGAGTGTTTAATATAAAATGAGGTGCGACTAAAATATGTTAAATTTTTAAAATCTAAACTCCACTTGGAGGATACTAGAAAATACAGTGTAACCTGCTTTCCTATTTACTATGTATCTCGAATTTACTGACTTCTTACTTAAGACATATTTTTTCAATATATCTCCCCTGAACTTTTGTTTTCTAACCATTAATAGAAAATAGAAATTTAAGCCATATTTTGATACGCATTAATATTAATTATTAGATATATTATTCATATGATCTTACTTGTAACATTCCATTATACAAAAATTCATTTGTCTACATATTTATTCACATTGAAAACCTCTAAAACGCTTTTTAGACTGTATCCTGGGTACTCTAGTATGCACACAAGTATGTTTTCTAACCTCCAGTATCTCATAGTAATGCAAGAGCTTCAAAATGATTATTTAAACGACTAAATACAAAATCTTCTGAAATTTAAAATTTACAAATGTGATCAAAGATTTTTGAATTATATGTTTAAAAACTACAATTTTAAAATTCTGAAGTTAAAATCTTACCATATCCTTATTAAGAGTCTTTGCTTCCAGAACTGGTTGTTTACTTGGGGTAAAACCAGCATTCTTCATTTAGATGAAGAGTTTAAAGTATATTTTTCATGAAATAACTTAGAATAACACACTGGCATCCCTTAGCAATACAGATTGTGAGAAAGAGTATTTACATTTCTAAATTTCTACATTGTTTTTCTAATTAGAGATAAGGTCTAGCAATGTTGCCCACACTGATCTCAAACTCTTGGACTCAAGCAATTTTCCTGCTTCAGCCTCCCTGGTAGCTGGAACCACAGGCATGTACCACCATGCCCAGATAAATTTTCACAACTTCTAATATTATTTCCATGTAATCCAAGAACCAAGAAGAGAAACTGAGAAAAAGCTCTCTTCTAAAACCTACATGATATCAAAATAATAAGTGCCAAAAAGCCATGTGGTACAGTTTAGGAATTTAACAGTATCAGAGAAATTCCTTGATTACTATAAGTAACTGAATCCATTAAAGATAAATTTAAGGAAGAGTTTCATTAAGTTACAACAGAATAATTTAAAAAGTCACAGTAAGAATACTTATGTAAATAAATGTTTACCAAAATTTATATATTCTTTATAGTGGAAAATGTTCTTCTAACCTGTCACTAGGTAATCTCCAGCCCATTCCGTGTTTTGGCCTTCACCGTCTCAAAGTATTTACCAAACATTTATTATTTACTAAAGTAAAAAATAAATTTTTAAACCAACTAGTCATATTTTTATAAAATGTTTCTATCTGACCAACTTTCTATTACCAACATAAAATAATGATACTTATAGCACTGCTAAACATGAAAAGTAAGCACTATACAGAACTAGAGTACACCTGAGAAAATCAGTTAGTTCACAAGAGACCATTTTACCTTGTCAGCAAGTCTGAAGTCTTTCTCAATTTTTGTAGGCTGTAAATTTTCCATAGATGGTTTGCTGAAAAGATTTTAAAGCAAAAAGATACAACAAAAATGAGCAAATTCATGTATTTAAAAAGAAACTGCTAGCTCCTGTCTTGGTGCCCACTCTAAAAAATGAAAACAAAAACAAAATCTGGGGGAAGATCAGTCCTTCTCTATATTATATTATGTTTCTCGTTATAATTATAATATGGCCTCTGTTTTAAAAAATATTTTAATTACATATTTTAGACTCCACCTCCCCAACATTTAACAACCAATGAAGTCTCACTTTTGGTTCCGTAACAAATAGTTACAGCCAATATAATGGCATACCCAGAGTATAATTTGTACTCACAAACCATCTGTCCTCAAGGATAAACTGAAAATCTACTTAATGGTTGACATAACTTCTGCTATCTAAACTGGAACAAGCTTGATAACTAAAATGAGGTAGAAAGATGTAGTTTCCTTGTCCATTGTCCATTATCTATCTCTGATTCAAAGGCTAATCTGTGTCACTGGAAAATGACATTCTTTGTTTCCCAGCATAAAAACCACTTAGGAAGTCCCTGTTGCTTCCCTTCACCCTAAAACACTACAGGGAATGCCCTGAAATATTTGAAGTGTTGAGAGTCTGAACCTACAAATGTCAAAACACAAATGTATATTTGCTATTGGGAGTACTTTTCTCAATAAATATTGAAACTAAAAATAATAAAATTGGATTTCTTATTCTATACTGGTCATTCCTTGTTCAAGTCTACATAAACTAGCAAAGCCTTAAAAATCTTCATACCCAAGGAGAGAGACTTCTAGAAAAACTGAGTCTTGGTGGTTGAATTTCTCTAAGTACTATACATATACAGAGAGAAAAACCTGGAATTGGGAGACACTGTATATACTGAAAGTGTCACCCGCTTCCAGATCTTTGTTCAGCAGGGCTTCATGGCAGTCTCCAACCTTTAAATATTCAGCTCATCAAACCAGATTACCGGAAAGATAAACTCTAATCACCAACCTAGAAGCTCTGCATTTACCTGTTTCTGGAAATCACCGAAATGGAGATTCAGTTAGGCATTCACTTACAACATAAGCATGTTACCAAAAACCCAACTGAAGCTCCATGACTTTTTTGCCAGCCAATCTTACCCCTGCTTTACATGTACATGAGTAGGTCATCAGACACTTGGAAAAAGTGAGGCAAAGGATAGGGGGCACCTGCCCTGGGCCACAGATCTATGTAATTCGGCAAACTTCAGTCTCCTAGCACTCAAGGCACTCTAAGCCACTTTTGTGAAATCTGGGGTGAAAGAACATAATAGGACATTTCTATATCTCATAGAGACTTTTTGCCAATAGCTCAATTTTTAAAAAAATCTTTCAATGGAGCGCTTGAAGTTTGTTCATTCCTCTAATTAAACAAACAAAATACAGTGACCTATTCAGGACTTCCTTTGAAACCTATTTCAATATGCCTTTCTAGATGACTCCCAATGTCTTTTGTGTTTTTGTTCCTCTAATTTATCTTCATCAAACTTGTCAGAAGGCCAATATTCTGATCCTTTTGGTAAAACGCTTACTCCTACCAACCTGAGATTGCTTCTCTTCAAACTTAGCATTTCCCTGATAATTTCATTCTTACTTACTTCTACTGGGTTCTCCAGCTAATTCCATTCTTATCCTTTTCCATTGGTTTAATTAGACCCATTCCCTCTTCGTTTCTATTATTCAAACACTCACTTACATGATGATACAGAAACCAGAGTAATGGGCTTTAAAATGAGCTCAAATGTTACTTCTGCTACCTCTTATATTTGAATAAGTTACTTTGAGTTTCAGATTCTCCACCCGAACAACCATTCTTCCAGGTATTAAATACCGGTTGAAATATGAATGTACTTTGATTATTCTCTGAGAGTCCTTACAACCCTAAATTTCCATGTGCTTTTCATTTTAGGTATAGAAAAATGGGGCTGGCAGAAAGGAATAAAATAATAGAAGAAAAGAACACCAAGGAAACCAGAGAAGAAAGTAATCAGGAAGAGATTTTTAAAAGCCATGGAAGAAGAACAACAAACAAACAAACAAAAAAACCTCTAAAAATACTTAAAAACATTTAGATATATGTAGGTAATCTCCATTAACAGGTAAAATAGACCAGGATTTACCTGGTCTTGCTTATGAAACAAAAACCTATGTCTTGTGTCCACAGCTAAGTAAGATCTGCTCTAAAACCTTTCATGGTAAAAGCAAGGTACTGGTTACCAGCTCATCTGTCACACACATTAGAACAAACTCTTGGATTAACCAGTATTCTAAGGGAAAACTCTAAAAAAAAGTTAACATACAACAAATTGTGACTTTGTGAATTGACCTCATCTGTACCTGTACCTTGATTCTACTGATGCACAGACTCAACCAAACTATGCTGAGTGCCAAAAGAGGGATTTGGAAGTAATGGCGAACTCAAGGGTCGGCTACCTTTAATCTATGAAATCATAGGCCAATTAATCAACCTCTCTGAATCACAGTTGCCTGATTAATATAAAGTAGGTGACAGTAGCACAGATACTTTGCAAAGCTGTGTGACGACTATACGAGATGAAAAATGTTAAGCACGTAATATATTGTCTAGCCCAGAGAAGAATACTCAACAGACAGTGGTTTCTTTTCTTTATGTTTTTAGTCAACATACACGTTTTAAAAAACTGTAAAATCTTACCTGAATATAGACTTTACAGAATTCACATTCTCTATTAAAAAAAAGAAATACATTAAATCAACAAATATATACAAAATATACAGAATATTAAAAACATAAGATGGCATGATGGTACATTACTGTAATCCTAGTTACTTGGGAATGTGAGGCAGGAGGATCACTTTTGGGAACTAGATATCTGAGAGCATCCTGGGACACATAGCAAGATTTCAACTTAATCCAAAAGAATCATGCACACTTTCATGCATGCTTCTGGTCTTCTTTAAAAAAGCATAATACTGGCTGGGTGTGGTGGCTCACATCTGTAATTCCAGCACTTTGGGAGGCTGAAGCAGGCAGATCATGATGTCAGGAGTTCAAGACCAGCCTCATCAATATGATGAAACCCTATCTCTACTAAAAATACTGAAGAAAATTAGGCAGTTGTGATGGTGTGTGCCTGTAATACCACCTACTTTGGAGCCTGAGGCAGGAAAATCCTTTGAACCCTGGAGGCAGAGGTGGCAGTGAGCCGAGAACGCACCACTGCACTCCAGCCTGGGCAACAACGGGAGACTCCATCACAAAAAATAAAAAACAAATGCATAATGCTCTGACACTTTGTTACCAAGACTCAGATGATTTGATGATTTGTGACAAAGCATTCCTTTGGGACCATATACTAAGGCTATAGTAAAATTATTAAATATACTATTGGTAGGCAACTAATGAACTGAGAATTATTATTTCTCCTCCTTAGTAGTTCTCACATGCAAGGAAGAATAGACTTGGTCACAATTTAATATCTACAAGTGAACTACAGTATACAGTAGTCACAATCCAAACAGAACCATTTAAGGCTGACAGAAAATTGTATCATTAGCCAAGTAAGTGGATAATGTCAACCTTAGAAAGCATAATTTCTAGAGAAATGAACTAAGAGCAGTTAGAACAGAGTATACAAGTCACTCTTTATCTGCTCTATGGGTAGATAGGAACATATACAACATGATTTCCCTCTGCTCTTATACCACAAGAATCATCAAAACAGAAGACTTCTGCAACCAAGTGTGTGGGGGATTTTCTCCACCAACAAGTGAGCAATCATTTCTGTAGCACATACCAGCTGGTTGTCCTCTATTCAATTCCAGCACTTTCTATCTAGAAATAGTGTCAGATCCCAAGGCTCCGGTCTCAGTCTCACAAGACTGCCCTACCACACCAGTTGCAAATCTGGGTCTCTAAAACTTCTAACCATCTTGTTTCAAGTTGGGGTTCCCATGACTCCCTCTTTGGGCTTGAGCAATATGCTAGAGTGCCCCAAAGACTAAAGGAAACACAATCACCAGTTTATTATGAAGGATATCACAAAGGAGACAGGTGAAGAGATGCATATGGCAAGCTATAGGAGAAACAGTATTGGGCTTCCATTCCCTTCCAGGGCACTTCAGCCTCCAAACACTTCCATATATTCAGCTATCTAGAAGGTCTCTGATCCCAGTCCTTCTGGATTCTTAAGAAAGCTTTATTAAATAGGCATGAATGAATAAATCTGTGGCCACTGGTAATTGACCTAAACTTCAGCTCTACTCACCTCCTAGGAGGTTGAGGGGTGGGTCTGAAAGTCTCAAAACTGTAATCATGCCTTGTTCTTTTATTTGGGAGAAGCTCCTATCCTGAAGCTAGGACTACCAGCCCTCATTCAATTATTAGCATAGATAGACACCATTTTGGAGATTTTAAACATTTTATGAGTTGTATGCCAGAAAACAGTGTTGAAGACCAAACATATATTTCTACATATAATATCCATGGTTTTGATTTCTGTGATTTCAGTTACTTGTGGTCAACCATAGTGCAAAAATATTAAATGGGGAATTCCAGAAATATACCAGTCATATGTTCTAAATAATGTGTCATTCTAAGGAGTATGATAAAATATTAAGACATCTTGTTCCAACTCACCTAGGTCACATATTATCCCTTTGTATACACTCTCTGCCCATTAGTCATCGAAATGGTCTGTACCTGAATCTCAACCATCAACATTATCATGGCTCAATGATCCAGGGCCACATTAAGCAGATGATCCTCCTTCAGATGTATAGTCAGATATCCAGAAATTAATAGTAGCCTAACACCATATGACAACACCTACCTCATTCCCCTGACCTAATCTCATCACATAAGAATTATATCATCTCACAATCATCACACCAAAGAGAAAGGTGAGTACAATACAAAACAGTTTGAGAGACCACATTCACCTTAGATTACAATATATTTTTATTGTTTTATTTTATGATGGGTTATTGTTAATCTCTTACTGTGCCTAATTTATAAATTAAACTTTCTCATAAATATTCACATATAGAAAAAATGTATATATAGGGTTCAATACTATCCACAGTTTCAGACATTCACTGGTGTCTTAAAAAATACCTCCCATGGATAAGGGTGAATGTACTTATTTGTGTGCGTTTCCTAGCTAAACATGACCCTTTAACTTATGGCTTTCACAGGGGAAAAGAAACTGTACAAATCACTATTGTTATTTTTTAAGTTAAAAATATTCAGTAAAACAAATCAAAATAAAATAATGGCGTAGAAAGACCTACATGCTTAAATATATCAATTGAGCTTCTGAACTTGATTCATTTTTCCCTGATGGGTCAAACTTTCATAATAGATTGATACTAGGTCACAGACTGGTGACAAAAAAGACTATAGCATGAACTACTACAAAAGCTTCCTTTGCCTTTAAATCTTATTATGTGATTACCCTCCAACTATCTTCTACATGAAGGGCCAGCAAACTATAGGCCACAGACTAAATCCAGCTTACCAAATGGTTTTACTTACAAAGTTTTATTGGAGTATAATCATGCCTATTTGTTCACACATTATCTATGACTGCTTTCACCTTACAATGGCAGAGTTGAACAGCTGTGATAGAGACCTCATGGTCTAACATATTTCCTAAATGGCCTTTACTGGAAAAGTTTGCCAATTTCTGCTTTATACCACGACTAGAATGCCCTGATACTCAAATCTAATCTTGTGACCCCCCTGCTCAAACTTTTCCAATGAATGCCTGCAGAAAACGTTTCTGGATTTCTATGCACAGCCACTATATATTCTTTCTGGCTGCAGGAACATAAGTTTACTTAAGATATTTATTATTCCATTGCCCCATCCCATCTCCAAAAAGAGAAATCATTATTGTAAGCTAATCACAGTAATTACATACGCTTTCCTAGTGACTGGTTTACAAACCAGCATGTGGTATAATCTAGGCAATGAAATGTTACAGGATTACCACAAGATTCCAAGTTTTCTTCCTATTTAAAAGAAGCATGTGAACAAAAGCAGCACTTTCAGCCATCGGATACTGTCTTGAGAAAGCATGTTGATTATAGCTGTTGCTAATTAGCCAGCCATGAAAGGAGAACAAATAGGGCAGTGGGGAGGGGAGTGGGATACTAAGATATTCCTGTACCACCAAAACAAATTTGGTTCCTATGGTTTCAGCCATTGTTAGTTACTTCATCTAGTATTTAGAGCTAGAAGTATTCTGAGAATTTTTCCAGGTCCTACAGAATAAGATCTACTCATTTCTATACTATTAATAAGTGTTGCCTAAGCTTGCTTATCTAGATATTCAAGTCATTCCCAACCACTCCTATATCACACTATTTCCACTAGGGAACCTGAAGTGCCAATAAACCCTACAAAGTTCACTCAAGCATCTTACCATTTGTACGTGATTTTGAAGGTTTTTCTTCTGTGGAACATTCGCTCATCTTAGATATTCCTGTTTTCACAACTTCAGTTTTATAAGATGTTACTCTTTCCAGGCGTTTAGTGTTTTTAGACTTTATTTTTTCCGGCCATGCGATCTTCCTAGGTCTTCCTTGTGCTGTCCATGCAAATTTCTCAGATGTTTCTTTTACAGGCTTCATAATTTCCCTAGGTGTTTCCTCTGCTGACTGTTCAATCTTTCCAGATGTCTCATTCCTCAAATACCGAATTTTCTCAGATGATCCTTCCACCAAGGGTGCAGCCTTCTCAGGTGTTTTTTCCACCAAGCATTTAACCTCTTCAGATGTTCTTTCCGCCAAGCGTGCGTCCTCATCAGGCGTTCCCTCCGCCAAGCGTGCAGC